AATCGATACCTGTATGGGAGGAAGTATATCTCGACACTATCGACGACATCGGCCCAATTTCTCCACCCATCTTTGTGGTTCCTGTACCAAAGCAACGCTTTACCTTTTAGCATTTCCGGTAAGGTTCTTAATAAATCTTCATTCTCGAATCCATAACAAGTTTTTAATTCTTCCACCCTTTCTAGGAATGATATTGGATCACCAGTACCATCAAATTTAACTCCCCACTTCCGCACCTTATCACTTAGTTCTGCAGCTGTTGGTTTACCCACTGGCACTTGCCCTGGCTCCCTTGTGTGCTGATGTCTCTCTGATCTGGAAGTGGTCTCATACCTGGTTTTTGGTATTGTTCCTTTTGAAGTTATGGATTCTTTTTCCTTATGTTCTTCTGGTTCTAGGTCACTTGCAGTTCCCAGTGGATCACGAATATACCGTATTAACCTGGCCCTCAACTCCTCGACTGTACCAGTGGACTTCACTCCCCTATCGTCTAATTCTGCGATTAATTCTTCCTTCCTCTTTGTGTAGACCCACCCGATCTTTGGTTCGGGTTCCATTTTCTCCGCCTGAGGTTCGTCTCCTGGCATCTCGTGGTACGTATGTAACTATTCCCTAATTAACTAACTATATTACAGGTTCTGGAAAACTAAAAGAAATAAAAATTATCCTGGAAAACAAAATTAAATTCAAACTGGAAAATTACACAAATCCTTTTTGGAAGCTAGAATAGTTTTAATTGTTAGTAGCTTACTTGCATGTACTTTTCTCTTCTTTAAACTGCTCGGGCGCCACTTTTTATGGTCCTAAGGGTTACAAACTACCCTTTGCCGATTGGTAACCCAAGGACCTCCAAAATAAAATCTCCCGTTCCTAAACCCCCTCCTGTTCACCCATACAACACTGTATGGTTGGTTGCCTATGGTTCAGGTTCACCGGGAGATGCTGCGTAGCTCTACAGCCGGAGATATCAGGTCTCCACTTTTAATAAACTAAAACCTTGTTTTTTTCAAGAAAATATAATTAAACAAATATATGTACAAAATAAAGAAAACTAAAAATGATTGAATGCGACCCAAGTAGGAGGGGTCGACCGGGACAATTGACACTCGTGGTAGTTTTGTTAACCTGTAACTGATATCACGTTAGCTTCCAGTATGAACAACCGGTAGGTAGTTTCAAAGACCACTTCTATGATTCAACTTTACACGGGATCAATATAAATCAAGTAAGTTTTACGTTAGATGCTCAAGTACAAAAATATTCGGGGTAGATTACAGGAAGGCTGGTTCCAGTCGAGCGCGAATTTACATTCGCAGCGTCTACCGAAATTTCACCACAGGGATAACCTAATTCTGAGCACGGCTATACAGCCGTATACTTTTTCCACGGATGGTAACAGGAAGAGCGCGGTCATACGACCTGCACCTCTTTGTACTGGATAGTCAGGTAACCCCAAATTAACGGCACGGCTATACGGCCGTACACTTTTAATTCAGGAAGGGTTTCAGAGCGCGGTACTACAACCGGCACGTCTGAGGTAAATTATTCAACGGGGCGGGTGTCAGAGCGCGATTTACAATCGCTAACGTCTGACCAGGAAACAGGAAAGAATTTCTTAGGATCAGGAAAACAATTCTAAGACGAGTCTCCTTTCTGGTCTGGTTTCTGTTTATATAGTCTGTGGAAGGAAGTGGGAATGTAATGGTGATGGTAATCGTACTGGTGGGAATGTCCACAAACATGACGTCTTTGAAACTACCGCCCTCTCCTGATAGAAATCTAGATTAATTTCCAATTCCTACAGGAATCAAATTACAAATTAATCTTATAACATTTCACATTCATACATCCTTAACGTCCTTAACGTATTATTATAAAATGTAATATTTCAGAAAAAATTTAAATTGTCATTGCATAAAGCTGGAATCGGAACAAAGTAACATGACAGCACATTTCTGCTGTTTCGTATCTCACACGCGTAACCTGGGAAGTGGTAGGCGGTCGTCAAGACAACACCGGTCTTCATCTAGTCCTCCGTAGTGGATTATTGAGAGAAACACAATGCAATTTAATTTTATACTCTGAAAATATAAAATTACCAGCGTACAAAGTAAAAATGTAATGTATAGCATGATTAAAAATACATCCCTTCTTTCCCAACAAGCTTTTAATTGCGTTATTACTCGTAGATTTAATTACTTTGAAAGTAATGCCTACAAATTATTTATATATTACAAGTCACACGATGGGAACAAACACAAAGAGTGATTTTGTAAATGGGTAGTAAAACGGTTGTTGATATTTGATATAGTGAGCTGATTGTTATGTCAATGACAAAACCATCTGGTCGCATGAATCATAAGCTTTCAGTTTGCATGTTGTACCTATAGATATACAAGAGATGGATAATGACCTAAATAAGGGATAGTGGTTGTACTATTATTACTGCTTTATGCAAGAGGGGCTGCCTCCCTAACTAATATTCACCACCAATTCGTCTGTGCACATACCTACTACCAAGTGGTCAGTGCATGAAAGTAACCTCAATCTATAGTTTCAATTAAATTACGGAGGAAATTAATTAGTGCTTAGTTGCAAGAAGCTAATATTGGAATTGGCTATATTGAACACTGTTTCAACTTGCGTATATTGGTAACATTAGCGTCCTATAGAGCATAAATAAGACTGAGGATCAGAATAACACAATTATTCACGACCACAAATCAACATTTGTTCGGAATTAAACGGGCCACTTTACAAACTCTTCTATGCGGTGAAACGTTATCTCTAAATTGGATAGGGCAAACAAGGGTTTTGTTCTTTGACGTAGTCGTCATTAACCAAATAACAATGTTTGACAGGGTAAGCGTTGTAAGGATAATTCAGAACATTAGTATTCCGTAAGTGCGACAGTGTCGTGTCACTTCCGGTGTTGATGTTTCTCTACTTTAATTATACGCTAAATTTAATTCCCTAAAGACGTGCACAAATACCGGGTCTGGCTGGCAGTCTTGAGATGATTAACAACAGCAAGACGAGAGGTCCTGGAGGCTGAAGTATATGGCGACTACTTCAAATTAAAGCTCATGACGTTAATTCTGTCACTACGCAATGAATACGTGCAGCTTATGCGCTTCATTTAAATCCATGTTATATGTAGCGCACAAACGCACTAAATTCTTCCGAAACCGCTCTTGTGTTAATATCGGAGACAGTTGCACAAGGGAATTTTCGATACATACTTTTATCGAAGATCGCTTCGGTTCACCGAGACTATAACAATCTCCAGTCCCTAAAGTTGGTTGGTTATCTTTTCTTTGGAAGGTATAGGTTCGGGTAGTATGGAGTGAGATCTAAATTATAGCGAAGAGCCCATGGTAAATGTTCAGATGCGGTTAATATACACTAAAACTCAGGCACATTCTAATAGTATACTTTTGAAACTATTGCATTTCATCCTCACCATAATGGTTCATAGGCTCCTAAATATTCAGTAAATTCTCATCAAACTTTACTACAGTTATATATCTGGGGTGTTTCATGAAAATAAGTAAGATAACGTTAATATCAAAAATGAATTCCAAAAACTACACACTATATGTATTGTATCGCAGGGATGGCGTCCCAAGACAAAGATACAGGCAAACACCTAAAAACTGGCCTTAAAGAAACACAATAATGGGGTGGGTTTGAGATCGGCACATTTCGTAAACCAATTGTATTATTTTTTTTAACAGCGTTAAAGTAGTCATAACTTAAACATGAATTAATTACGGATTTATGTTAATATTTTATTGGAAAGAACAACCAATTGCAGTAGTTCGCTAACGCCGGATTTTTTTTTCAATTCTGTTATTGTTAAAGCTGCTGCAGTAGCCTTTCTTTTTGCAGGGTCTTTTACAACTGTCGGCGTTTGGATTTTTAGAGCAAAAGTCAGTAAACTGCTTCCAAATACTTGACTTGGATATCCTAGTGTTTAGGGGTTTGAGAAGCTTTTCCTTTTGCTTTTTACTTTTATTGGAAACGGAATTTATTTGCACTCGATTGATGCTTCTCTGGTTACTAGACCATACTAATTTCAACGTGATTTTTTGACACAAATATATTGATAAATAATTATGTATTATAATATTGGAAAGGTTATTCAAACTCTCTTTACTCCTTTTAAAAACGCATAACGAATGCTACAGACCGGTTCACATGAACTTTTGTCTTCATGAAAATTTTACTCAGTGAAAATTACTAGGACAAATTCATATTCTTGTCTGGTCCTGTAAACACATGCCGTTAACCAACAAAAACATCTAATTATTAATTTACATCAATACATCATGACCCAAAGATGACCTACAGCCCAGGTAATGATGACTTGCAAATATAATCCAATATTCCGAAATGTAGGATAATTGTCAGACTCCAAGGCGACATCTGGCTTCGTGAAGTGATTAAAGAACAAATACCATTGAAAACAAACACACTGTATAGAAGGTTTCATAAAAGCCTTACTCAAATACTACATACTACAAACTATTCTAAATTAATTTAAAAAAAAAACTGAAGATATCCCTACTTCAATTCTTGTGTAACAGTTTTATTTTTTCAAGTACATATAAATTATTATTGGTTGAGTATCACTGTCATTTTTGTTGTCTGTAGTTGTCAATTGTTAAATGGTTAGGTAGGTTCTGGCGAATTATTATTGGTCCATTCATTAAGGCGAGTTGGATACGCATATGAGATTATATCGGCGTTTTGAGAGTAGTTGTATGAATCAAAAAAAAATTTCAATGACGGTATAATAGCAAAGTTTGGAAGTAATAAAATATCTGGCGATTAACCGTATTTGTGTGTGATCTCGAATTGGTTTTAGATCAAGATAGATTTTTGTTGGAAGTTATAAATTGACTTTGAAGTGGATCCATACGATCTCGCTATTCGAAGTTTGAATCTATTTAATTTTCATTAGTTGCTGTATTGTTTTCTGAACAACTTTCTTGCTGGTTCGGAAGATTTTCGGTTTCGGTTAGAGTTTTTTTTTCAAGTAATAATTTTACATTTTACTTAAAAATCTCAATGCCCTCGCGGATTTTTCTTTGATAGAAGACGAGCGAGTGGGATAGAAACTTGGTTTCTTGAAACAGAATATTGTGGTCGCTATGGAGAAAATATTCAGCAACCACGATCATTAAAATTTAAATTTAACCTTCGATCGGGGGTGCGACAGTAATTTGCTGGACGGATTCACTATTTTCTATATAAAATTTTTACCGCTTGCGCTAAGAACGTCATGCTTTCAGAATTCCCATATTTGGTATCCCCTACAGTTCATCAATAGTTAGATCATTTCTGAAAAAATGCATTATACAGGGTGTTCGTTTGTCAAGTGCCACTAAATGGAACTGGTTTATCTTAAGAGATAGAACGTGGGTTAAATGAGAGAAAAGTTCGTGCTGAGTAATAATCTGAAAAGAACTTTAAAATCTCTTTAATAGTTTTGAAGGTATCGAAATAAAAATAAAATTCGTAATTTTCGTTTTTAATTTTCTCACTATAAACTAATCGTACTAGATATTCAGCAAAAGTTCGTTTGTGGTTTGAGTGTGAGTAAACAAAGCAGTTTAGTAAAACCTTCCTAAAAGGTTTGTCTTTCATTTAACGTTGAATTTCTATGGTTCGCGCAATCACCAACAATTTTTCATTTTAATTCCAGTTCGAGCTATTGAGTTCAGTTTATTAAAAAAAGAAGTGAAGTGTCCTGAAGCAGTTAGCAAGTGTTTTTGTGGCTTTGATAAGTGATCCTGAACCTTTCACGACCAAATTATTTGGATTCTTAGAAAAACCGCGAGTAATTTTAAGATATTTTTACTTTATTTATCGACCTCCTGCGTGCGGGGTACCTATATTCTTTCGTTCAAGGATTTTGTTTTAATTTTGTTTCATATATATCGAAATAAATTTTTGTCATTGTCATTCAATTAGTTGTCTTCGAATCCTCATGAAGTTAACAATGTTGAACGCACATCTTGCCTATTGCAGAAAAACGTCAGTTTTCTAGGGCGTTTGTCCCAATAGGTAGTAAGTAACTCAAAACAGCACGAGCCTGTCCAAACGTACACAAACAACATCACATCTTTATTAATTCTTACAAAAGTAATTTAAACACCGGTCCATAACAACTAAAATTGGGTCTGCGCAATCAAATTCATGATGCGCGAACAATTCGCTTTCATAGGAATGAACAAATTATCAAAATTTTACAAAAATTGGTCCACAAACAAGAGTTAAACTTAACTATGGGATGTCCACTTCCCGGACTTTCTCTTGTTCTTAATAATCTTATAGTTTTACAAAAATCGGTAAGGTCAGATTCTGTCGGTGCTCAAAGCGTATGTAATCTTTGACAAGTTACTTTACTGTTAAAATTCTGGTCAAATTTCACAAATATCGGTTCGCAAATAATGTTTTGTTGTTTTGTTGTTAGAAGCACGTACAATCTAAGGGAAGAACACATCGATCTGAAAATTTATACGTGCGATATGTGTAAGTGATACGTCTGAATAAAGTTACTAGATTTGGCTTGTTAGATTTTGATTTACGTTGTTAACAAGCTTGACAACCACAACTTACTACGCTCACCAACAGCAACCGAATACGATACCATTGTATATGTATACACCTTATACAGGGTGCCGATTATGAATGGAATATAGTGATATCTCGATAAATATCGAATGTATACACAATTTTTCTATATGAAAGTTGTTTAACATTTTATTTCCCATAGTAGGGCAGCATTCAGTTGTTTTTATTTCAGAAAACAAATTAGAAACGAAA